AAGAGATAAACTTGAGGAGCAAGTTTATGCCTTGAGGAATAAGTACAAATCCAAGAAAAGGAAAGTGTACTTATTAATATGGAAGCTGTCCATATATCCATGTTGCCTTGGAGACTAGGGTTTCAGGAACGTGGAGATCACTATAAAAGAGCTATGGAGTCGTGTGTATTCCATAAGACACTTGGGGCTTTTATTATAGAGGAAGGGTGAAAATCCCTTAGGGTGTTCTTGGGTCGTGCCGAAGCAGTTGTTGAGGTACTGACGATGGAGAGACAAGTTTGGGTAGATTAGGAATCTTTCAGTAGCAGCTGTTAGGGTGTTAACAGGCTGTGTAAAGCTGATAAGCAGATCTTGTAATAGATTGTTTAAAGATGATTTCTAATAAAGCATAGTGTCTGCTTGTATCTATTTTGTCTCTTGGTTTATCTTCTGCACTACTATATTGTGGTGTCATCTTTGCACTTACAATTGGTATCAGAGCGGGTCACCTAAGTTACTGGTGTGATCCTGAAGGTGAAGATGTACACGGTTGTTTGCAGAAGACAATCTTAGTGGTTGATGGCCAGTTTGGTCATGAGAAGGCGCGCATGAAGTTGTTGGTTCGAGGAATCAATGAGGGTGCGTGGATAGCTGTGAAGACTGCATGGGAGGAGCCTACGGTGGTCACAACAGAGGGGAAGAAGTCCAGTCAAAGGAGCCAAGACAAGGCAATGAGCTGTTCGAGAAGTAGTTCGGCGGATGCGTCAGAGGCTGATGCAGTACTCATGAAGGAGCAGGCGGTGTGTCTGTAAAAGAAGGCTTGACATCTAAGCATCTATGTTTTAGCTTAGTATGCAATCAAGCAGGGGGAGAAGTGATGACGTTCTGGTCCAAGGAGTGCATATCTCGTGGGGGAGAAGAGCATGGTGATGGACGTCCTGATGTAGATGATGCATATCTCGTGGGGGAGAAGAGCATATCTATGTATGAAGATGAAGACAGTGCAAGTCTCGTGGGGGAGAATTGCATATCGAGTGTGGAAGTTTCCAGGTGAGGAAACCTGGTTGTTGAACCAGAAGAGTATTGTGCTTGATTGGCACACAAAGCTAAAATGGGGAGATTGAAGATGCAAGTGGAGCTTGTAGATGTCAATGGTCTTCCGTGACTAACTAGGCGACGAAGTCACTGATGCTGGAGGCATTAGTCGTTACTACATAAGGCATGCGGAGTGGTGGGTTACCATGTGGATGCAAGATATGCTGAGATGGAGAAGGATAAACTGGAGGTTTATGTCTTGACGTAGTCGTTGAAGTAGTTGCTGATGCAGTGTGTGTCAGAGAGTGAACCAGGAGGCATGCGGAGTGGTAGAGACCATGTGGATGCAAGATGCTGAGCTGGCGTGGGATAAACTTGAGGAGCAAGTTTATACCGTGGAGAAAAGGCAAGAGATAAACTTGAGGAGCAAGTTTATGCCTTGAGGAATAAGTACAAATCCAAGAAAAGGAAAGTGTACTTACTAATATGGAAGTTGTCCATATATCCATGTTGTCTTGGAGACTAGGGTTTCAGGAACGTGGAGATCACTATAAAAGAGCTATGGAGTCGTGTGTATTCCATAAGACACTTGAGGCTTTTATTATAGAGGAAGGGTGAAAATCCCTTAGGGTGTTCTTGGGTCGTGCCGAAGCAGTTGCTGAGGTACTGACGATGGAGAGACAAGTTTGGGTAGATTAGGAATCTTTCAGTAGCAGCTGTTAGGGTGTTAACAGGCTGTGTAAAGCTGATAAGCAGATCTTGTAATAGATTGTTTAAAGATGATTTCTAATAAAGCATAGTGTCTGCTTGTATCTATTTTGTCTCTTGGTTTATCTTCTGCAGTACTATATTGTGGTATCATCTTTGCACTTACATATTCTATGTTGCTTTCTGTTACAAATATTTCTTGTTATATACAAACTTTCAAGTGGATAAGTTACAATATGGTGAAACCACATCATAATACTAAAAGTTGTTCTTGGGTTCATTTCTTAGGTTGAATCTTTAGATTCACCAACCAATACGATTGTGTTACTTTTTATATTTAATATATTAAAAAAGCAAAATATTGTCAATTTATATTATGTTTTAAAATAAAAAGGTAAAAAAAAAAATTAATAATAGCACAACTCTATTGGTTGGTAGACCTATAGGTTGAATTTTATATTTCTTATCTTTTAGAAAAGAAAACAAATATTATCAAATTATATTATATTTAAAATAAAAAGATAATAATAACAATTGCAAAAAAAAAAAGAATTTCTATTAAATAATTTTAACACCGTCAGCAAAACTCTAATCCATAAATCCTAAAACCTATACATTGGGTAAACCCTAAACCCTCGAATAAATGCTAACCCTAATCTAAGCATTAAAATTTAAAAACCCTAAACCCTCAATCATAATCTCTAAATCCTTGGATAAAAATAAATAAAAAATTGTAACAATTACTTACAAAAATAAAATAATTTTTTTTAACACCGTTAGCAAAACACTAAACCCTATATACTAAACATTAAAATCTAAACCCTCGGATAAATTATATGATTAAGGGTTTATTAACCAGTGTTTAGTGTTTTTGATTTAGTGTTTAAGATTTATCAAGAGTTTATGGTTTACCTAAGGGTTTAGAGTTTAGTGTTTTTGCTGACGGTATAATATATATGGTTTACCTAAGGGCCGAAACTTTCGTTCATATACCTTCTTAGGATCAGAACTATTACCCGAGGTAGTCGCTGTAGCAGTACGCGTAGCAGTACTCGTAGCAGTCGCCTTCTTCACATAAGTTGCAGCCTTCACTGCAGTCTTCCCATTTGTTGCATTCCCAGCACACACCTTAACCTCTGGTTTTGTAGCAGACGTAATAGCTACATCATCAGTTTTTCTTGCTGATACAAAAACACCTTCAGCTTTAGAAGATTCACCTTTGAATCCAAGACCATATCGATCACTTTGCCCAATGTTGAGAAGATGATCCAACTGATCCGTCCCATTATTCAGCATCTTCAAACCCTTCTGAGTCTCTGAAAGTTGAACACCAGCCTGTCGTGCTTCTTCTTCTTTCTCTGAGGCATACTTAAGTGCTTCAGCCACTTGAGTTTCTCGCTTGACTTTCTCTTTATTCAACTCTGAATTCGCCTCAACCATCTTGAGCCAATGCTCATACAGCTTTTCATAATTTCCAGCAAGATCAAAGTCTCCATCATCATCATCATCACTTTCAGCACCAGAATCACTTCCACATGAAGACCCTGACGCAGACGCCGATGCAGATCCCGTCGCAGATCTTGTCTTAGAACACGAATCAAAAGTTGTAAACGCCACCAAGTTCTTCAACTCGTCACCATCATCTGAATCAGTATCAGATTCATCCTTCTTCTAGTTTTGCCTTTGCAGATTTGCGCAATCCTTCCGAATATGCCCAAATCCATTACATTCATAGCATTTTACCTTTGATGATGATCTACCTGAATCACTTCTTCTTCCACTCTATATCATATCTTCTCTTTGCTTCAGATATCCAGCAAAATCTCTTACCAGTATTCCCATAGGATCTTCAGAAGTTGAACTTTTGAGAGGAATTCCAACAGGATCTTCTTTCTCCCTATCCTTATCACGACTCTTATCTTGATATGATTTCCTCAGCTCAAAAGCTTGAAGAATCCCAACAAACTCATCAAAAGCCATCTCATCCAGATTGTGAGCTTCTTCTACAGCAGAGATCTTTGACTCAAACTTGGATGGCAATGATCTCTTCAGCTTCTTCACCAGCTTCTTGTCCTTGTACTGCTTTCCAAGTGCAAAACATTCATTAGAAATGTCACACAACTTAGCACTAANTCAAAAGCTTGAAGAATCCCAACAAACTCATCAAAAGCCATCTCATCCAGATTGTGAGCTTCTTCTACAGCAGAGATCTTTGACTCAAACTTGGATGGCAATGATCTCTTCAGCTTCTTCACCAGCTTCTTGTCCTTGTACTGCTTTCCAAGTGCAAAACATTCATTAGAAATGTCACACAACTTAGCACTAAACTGAGTCACGGTTTCCTCTTCATCCATCCTCAGATTCTCAAACTTTGATGCTAACATATCCAGCTTGGTACGCTTAACACTTGTAGTACCTTCAAACATATTCTCCAATGTCTTCCATGCCTTATGAGCTGAAGCACATTGAGAAATCAACTTAAAATAGCTTGCATCAATAGCATTGTAAATCGCAGTCTTAGCCTTAGAGTTGCAACTTGAAGCCTTCTTCTCTTCAGTAGTCCACTGATCTCTTGGCTTCAAAACTTCAACCTTCTCATCATTAAGCATCACTGGATGACTCCAACCATCCTCAATAGAACTCCAACAGTCTTCATCAATACCATTGATAAAAGCTTGCATCCGCACCTTCCAATATCCATAATTAGATGAATCAAGACGTGAGGGTTGTGTCATAGACGTTCCCTCTTGATATGCTGCCATCACAAACTCTGTTCTTCTTCCTGAACCAATTTCTGTCCTCACTCTTCAAGATCTCACCAGTAAGTTAGGTGACCCGATCTGATACCAATTGTTGATGTAGTGAGAGCAGAGCAAATAAAGTGCAGAAAGTAAAATACACGTTTTCTCTTATACCAATCTTTTCTATTACAAGAATCCTTTAGGATTGGACCAATCCTAAGCTAAAACTCACCCTAGAGTCTAGACTTTTGTTTATCAGGATCCTCCAAACTCTGAGCTAAACTCCCCCTGAGTCTAGGCTTCAATCTTCTAGAACTCCGGAAGTACGTCAACGACTACGTCAGCAACTAACGCACACCAAAGGCTTGATCACACAAGCAACACCAAAATGATCTCTCGACTTTTCTTCTTATTAGCAGAGACACATTTCTCAATGGAGGCACGTCCTCCTTGTATAGGTAACTAAAACTTGTTCCTCAAGTTCTTCTAAAAGCAACTTAAGCAACTTTTCTTTTTCTCTTAAGGAATAACTCTCTTGTCTTTTCCTCTTCAAGTAATATCATTTACAAAATATTCCAGTAAATATATTATCTCTTTTCCAAGCTTAACAAGCCCCCAGACATCACAAAACACAAACTCTAACTTAGTCCAACTTCATAATACACGCATGTATTACCTCTTGTAATACTTCACGAACTAACACAGAATATACATCTTCAAACTTGATACACACGAAGCAGTATACAACATTGGTACAATAAAAAACTACAACAATAGCCCTTTTACGGCTTATTTTACAGCTGATTAGTGTATTTGTTACCATATATATAATCTCTTATACGAGTTATAACCATATCTTTTATTTGACACTTCACTCAGTGGTCAATAGCCACCACCGCCTTCTCCGCTTCCAGCACCGCCACCATGTCCAGATCCAGCTGCAGCATAACCTCCCCCACCTCCTGAACCACCACCACCTCCTCCTCCACCACCATGTCCCCCAGCTCCACTGCCACCACCGTATCCCTCTCCAGCTCCACCTCCGGCACCGTAACCACCACCATGAGCTCCACCGGCGCCAGAACCTCCTCCTCCACCGCCTCCTTTTCCACCACCACCACCACCTCCATTTCCACCTGCACCTCCACCTCCATATCCTCCTCCAGCACCACCGCCTTCTCCTCCACCGTATCCACCTCCATGTGCACCACCAGCTCCTCCACCACCGCCTCCTCCACTTCCTCCACCTCCACCGTGTCCACCAGCTTCTCCTCCCCCGTATCCAGCTCCACCTCCTTCACCGCTTCCACCTCCGTAACCAGATCCTCCTCCAGGACTACCACCTCCACCTCCACCAGCACCACCACCATGTCCACCACCTCCTCCTCCACCATGCCCACCAGCTCCACCGTAACCAGCACCACCTCCTTCTCCTCCGCCACCACCACCACCAAGACCAATACCAACATCAACATCAGCACCAACACCAACACCAACACTCAAACTACTTTTCTCGCCATAGGCAGCGACTTCAGCCTTGGATTCAGAGTAGGTGAGAACTGATCTTCTTGCAGAGCATGACCCTAAACCTATTAAGAAGCATAAAATTAAAATATTATTGCCATTAGCCATATTTCACTCTTTCTTCTAAATATTTTGTTGTGAGATGAGTTTGCTTAATAATGGGTATCCGTATTTATAGGCATGTCACTCAAGCGCGTTTGTTGCACATAGGAAGAATGTTTTAAAGTTCATTTATTGGGCCTCAAACCTAACCTATCAATTCCATCTCTATTCTATATATGATTTATGATTATTCTATGTTGCTTTGTGTTACAAGTATATTTTTATATACGATCTTTTGTGGATAATCCCAGTATGGTAGAACCACGATATGTACTAAAGGTATAAAATGACCCAACAGAATTTACTAAACAAGTTATAACCATATATATATCTCATATGGTAGTTGAAATAATTTCTCATAAAATGGTATTTTATTTGTAACAGTTCCATAAAAAAAAAAAATTATGATATATTGCTAGTTCATTAAAAAAACCATTAAAAGAAAAAGACATATCTACCGGTTTAGAAAATACTTAAGTTCTCCATCTAGAATTTTGAGGGCATAGTGCTGGATATGCTAACTTCTAAGCTACAACATCATATTCTGTCGATCATCGGTGAGTTAAAGTCTTAAGAAGTTTGTAAAGCTATATCGACCACCAAATAATAACACTTACTGATTATAAAGGGCTGGCTGATATGACTGATATACTCTTATCAACGAGTTTTACATTGATTGTGAGTTTTAGTAAGGTATCATACTATCACGTACCGATATATATGCGTTAGTATCGAACATACGAACACTACTAATTTCAGATTCACTTATCACTAAGTAGTGGTATTTGTGTGTATGTTTGGTTGTCTCCCATATTGCAAAATGACATATATAATTAGATAATTAATTTTACTAAATATTAATGAATCAGACCTAATTTCTACATATTATCATATTGGTCTCTATGGATATCTGACTCACTCGGATGTCTACACTAACTTTTAAATTTAAAAATCAATTCCTGACAACTTGTGTTAATTCGAGGCTCCTCTACTGTTTTACAATGCAATTTATACGAATGTTGCATAAACATAATTACACATATTGATATGCTTCGAATAAGACCAACTTGTTTGCAATAGCGCGATACCTCGGTATATATAATTAGGCGTAGGTTTGGAGCTAAGTAGTTAATGGATGAATTACGGTTAACATAAACGTCGGACATACCTGATTAGATTTACTAATATATATGACGAGTAATGTGTTTATATTTTAGCTTCCGGATTTCTACGACTATCTTTTTGAGGTCACTGGTTTAATTTGAACTGCGTTTATTCTAGTCATGGAGTCAAAATTTTAACGTGACTTTGTGTTGCTATTCTAATTCTCTGTAGATCTTTTGTAAGAGCACTCCATTGAGGTTCTAACTCCGAAATTTTTAAAATATATATACGTGCATATATATATATATCTATATTAATATTTAATTTTGAGATTCTTAATTATACTGGAAATTTCACCCAAAATATTTTTACAATTAAGAATTTCATTATTAAATATTAATATATATATATATATACACATATGTATTTTGAAAACTCATAAATTAAAATCTCCATTAGGGATGCTCTCAACCAAATGTTCTTTTTTTTTTAATGAATGTTAAATTTTATTCATCAAAAAACCCCTATTACATCAAAAGTAACCCTTTTGTTTTTGAAGTTATATACATCCTTTACAAACTAAAAGACTTAAACTCTTGTGGTAAACCAAAATTGAATCCATTCTCCCAACCCTTCACTCTTCTCTACTTCAAAAGACTCAGCTTATGAAGGATACACTTGTCAATCATCTTCATTACAGCTGCAATAGGCAGAGGCTTCTCCTCATGCTTTATTCTATTCCTTTCCCTATATATAGAATAAATTGCAACTTGAAATGCATACCTGACACAATAACTCTTCAATTTCTCCATCTTGTTATCCGTTATAATAGTCATGATGGCTGACCAATTGTTAGTATGATCATTGAGAAGAATTCATTTCGTGAGTCCCTCCCAAATCTGAGCAGAGTAGGAGCACTTAAAGAATAAGTGGTTCCTAGACTCTCCTGCATTTTTACAGAGCACACAAGTATCATCAGTTCCCTGACTCCACAAGTATCATCAGTTCCCTGACTCCACTCAACCAAATGTTCTCGATATATATATATATATATATATATATATATTTATGTGCTTTGAAAATTTTAGATTGGGAACCCCGGTTAGGAGTGCTCTTATCATATCTTGATATACTGACCAAAGGCAGATAAATTATTCTCGACACCCTTGTCTTCGACAGGCTAATCAGCTTTTCATAGTTAAATGGAAATAAATAACCATGTTTGTACACTACGCTCGTCAACATCATAGGAAAGTCCATATATATATTAATATAATAACAGTTTAGTAACCTTGTTTTTTAAAGTAGACTTTTTGACAATAAAAATAAAGAGGAGTAAAATAAATTGTCTTGTAAGTAATACTTATTTTGATGAGGATTTTTTTTAGTAATTATAAACATCAATATACTTTGAATTGTCATTTGTAGAAGATCAATACATTTCTATTATCCAGAACGTTTTACAAAATAAATTTTCTATATTAGCAATATAAGACCATGTGAAATTCTCATTATTAGAGCTCTGGCAATGCCAATGAAATGTGCCATCCAGCAAATTAGCAACACCAGGGAAAATACTTTCCAATCACGTGTTATTCCTCTTCTTCTTTTTTTTTCTGTAATTCCTATCTGCTAAGATATTGAATACATAAAAATAAAATATATAGGTTTTATCAAAATAATCATATTCATATCTTATTATAAACCTCATAATTTCTGTTTTACTAATTACTAGACATGCAATCAAACCGAAAGCTAACAGTACCGAACTACTAACTAACTGAATATATATATCAAATTGGCTTAATCAAAATTATGACTAGAGTTCAATTAATAGTTTTAACTAAAATCAACGAACCGAATTAAACCAAGAACCGAGAATAAACTGAAATACCCATTCCAATGTGAAAGCGGTGGCCGCAATGAAAAAAAGTGTTTAGTGTTGTACTTATAAAAGTGGACCCAACCATTTCACTTTGTTTCGCAAGTGCATGTCTTATTTTATCCTTAACTTTTGACAAATAGGGTATTTGATATTGGAGATATGTATATTTATTTTTCATAAATCAGTAAAATCATGTTCTTCAACTTTATATAAGTGTGTGTGTGTTTCATATCTTTCATGACAATCGTGCGGTATGAAATAACTCATGAAATATGAAGAAGAAATGAATAAGTCAAAACTATTAAGGACTAGAGTTAATATATATATATATATATATATTTTTTTTTTTGAATATTTTGGATATCCATTCTGGTATCGGATATCATCCGTTTTTGAATCCAATCTCTTCTAACTGAATGCTTGTTCAAATATTTTATAGATTGGATCGGGTTCGAGTATTTTAAATTACATTCAGATTTGTTTGGATTCGGATAATGGATAAATAGCCCAACTCTAATTACAATATAGTAATTTTAAATCATTTAATAACAAAATGAATTTCCATTTTTACTGTTCTTTTCAATTTTGATGAAGAAAAATCTTAATATTTTCTTTAAATGAAGGAAATAGGAGAAAAGATATATATGGAAAAAGAATTTTGGGAGAAACATAACATTTGTTTATGTATCACTTTTTTCTCTAAGTACATCAATAGTAAGAAAAATTTAGATCAGATTATTTTTCGGAATTGGGCTGGACTGGATTTTGGACTTGTGTTGAGAATACTTATGCCAATTACGGTCCAAGTACAGAGCTAGAATAATCGATCTCAAAAAATTGACAATATTCCATAATGTTAGACTAATTATTAAAGAGAGATCTATCCAATGGATAATTCGTCTCTTTGAGTATATAAATGGACCCAAAAACATGAATCTATATTCGTGTAGATGTCATGAAAGTGTGATTTAGTTTCGCGCATCAATTGAATTGAACCTAAAACATGTTAGTATCTCAGTATCTACTTTTACCACCTGACCACACTGTCCCGGACTTGACAATATTGATCTTCAACGCATTCAGGAATGATCATGAACATGCAGAAATAATCACATGAGAGATCAGTGCTTTGCTTGAAAAATAACCAACTAATTTGAAAGTAGTTAGTCATTAAATAACAAATTTCGGTCGTATAATTTGCATGGAATAAAACATAAATTACAGGTTATTAAGTTCATTTTGCGTACCTACCAACCAATGATTCGTTAGTATATGATATTTTTAGCTTTCGTTTGTGTTGAATTATTAGCCGAGACTCAGTTAAGTGGGGAAAGTAAGAAGCAACAACTCCTCTTCCCGGACCTTAACAAATCAGCTAAACTTAGATGTTAAACAATTAAAAAGGGTCATCACGAGTTAGATGATTAGTCCTAAGTCCTAACCAACCACTACTCAAATGTAAGGACTATATAAATACTAGTCCACCTTTCATTAGTTTCCCACCACAAGTACAAAACATTTCAATACACAAACACAAACAACACACTTCTTCTTTCTTTAAATCCCAACTGCAAGAGAAAATGGCGAAAGAGTCCACCACCATTGACATCGGCGAGCCGAGCACCGTGACCAAAAGTACAAACCATGACGTAGTGGACGAGAAGAAGAAGAGTTTTGTGACAGCCGCCGCAGGAGGCGGCTACAAGAGAGGTTTGGCCATACTCGATTTCCTCCTCCGTTTGGCAGCCATAGGAATCACAATCGGGGCTTCCTCTGTCATGTTCACCGCCGAGGAGACACTTCCCTTCTTTACTCAGTTCTTACAGTTCCAAGCCGGTTACGATGACTTTCCCACGTTTCAGTAAGTCAATTTTCATTTTCTTAACATGTGATTATGAATTACACAACAAATGCCTATACAGTACAGCTCTAAATACGGTTATAGTTTTTGAACTGATTTACGGTTATATTTTTCTTAAACCATCGTGTTATAAGTAAGTCAAGTCATGTTAGGGTTATCAATTTTAAAAGTCAAGTCACGTTAGGGTTATATATTTCCTGTTTATGCTATTCAAAAATAGCATCTATTAAAAAAATTAAAAGAAAATTTAAATTTAAATTTGGATTTAAGGTTTAATGTTTAGTGATTAGTAATAGAGTTTCGAGTTTTGTATTTAGGGGTAGAGATGAAATTTAAGAGTTAAAATAAGGGAATTAAAATATTTTTTTTATGAATGTTATTTTTGACAAATTTTTATAATTAAGCGTTATTTTTGATAAACTTCTAAAATTTGATATTTGGATATTTTCTCTATTTAAAATTGTGTGGTTATATTTTAAACTTGTATTGATGACTTAATGAAATATTTACATATGTATCTTTTTGAAGGTTCTTTGTGATAGCCATAGCCATAGTCGCCAGCTATCTCGTTCTTTCACTTCCCTTTTCCATCGTCACTATTGTCCGACCACTAGCGGTTGCGCCCCGGCTCATCCTCCTCATTTCCGACACCGTAATTTCCCCTTTTTATATATATACACAGTTATATTCTCCGAGTTTATTTAATTATTTCATTTGAATCCTTCGGTTAATGTATACTTCAAGGTGGTCTTGACGCTTACCACAGCAGCAGCTGCTGCGGCAGCATCAATTGTCTACCTGGCACATAACGGTAACGCTAACACCAATTGGCTCCCCATTTGTCAGCAATTTGGAGACTTCTGCCAAACCACAAGTACTGCAGTTGTAGCTGCATCTATCTCGGTTGTCTTCTTTATCCTTCTCATTGTCATCTCAGCCATTGCCCTAAAAAAGCATTGATCTGATAGTTTCTGCATGTATATGTTTTGTGTTGTGTCGTGTGCTTTGTGTGACATGAGATGATATATCATTAAAGTGTGGTCTGTGTGGAAATTGTAAAGGGAATTCATGTATTTTATAAAGAAATTTGTCTTGGTTCATCTTGAAAACTTAAGATTAAAGTTAAAGGCCGTAGTTCATCTTACCATCCCTTCTCTTTTTGTTTGCATCATTTTGATTAGATTATAAATCAAATTCCTTTTTCAGTGTCATTTCTGAAAATTTTGAAGTTAGGATCTGTTATAAGAACTTGTAGATTTTTAGACCAAAAAAAAAACTTGTAGATTCGATGACTAATCCAAACAAAGAAGTGATGAACATTTTAATCATTTACAGAAAGGTCAGATAACACAAATAAAGCTAAACACAAATTAAAGCTTTTTTTGGTTTTAATGTATTCTTAAGTATGATTACAATTTCAAAGTACATGAGTACGTGCTACGTTTATCAAAAAGGAAGAAGTCTACTATTGCACGATCATTTTTAAGATCAGTCAGTATACGTTATTTTTAGTGATGAACGTGGATAAAGAATTTAGATGGAATTTCAATGGATTTCAAGAAAATTAAAGTACATTTTTAATAACTTTTAAGCTATAGTATATGTTATAAAATGTGAACTCCTTTTTCTGAGGGCAGGAAGAATGTATTGTTTGTATTATAGCCTAAGTCACAAAAAAAAAGAAAAGAATGTATTTTTTGAAAAATTTATATGAAGCTTCGGACAATATATATGTTTGTCAATTGTCAACCAAGCGTCGGGCGACATAAATTACGGTAATAACCTTAAAACGAATATCGTAGATAACGGTCAAATGGTTAACCCGGTCCTCGTACCCCCATGATTCAGTAGCGTACGTGCCAAGAAATTTTAAACCGTTTTACTTTTTTCATTGGTTTTATTTTGGGTCAATTTTTTCATTGAATTTTTTTTTATCTAAACAATTTTAGAAAAAATCAAACCCCGAGTTACTCCAATTATAGAACTCAAGCGTCATCATAAACATTGTCCTCTTCCATCTTGTTTTTGTTTCAAAGTTCTTGTTTTCCTTGCTAACCCTCTCCGTTTATTTAGGTTTGTTACTAACTTATACATTTTCTTTAATTTTTGTGTATAAAATGTCCAGAACCAATAAGCATACGCTGCTCACGTTTGCAGTTTTGATTCTTCTGGGTTCCTCAGAGAATAGAAAAGCAATTCCATTCTCTTCATACGTCAAGAATCTATACGAGGACGACATCTTCCTAACATCTTTGATCTTTTCTTCAATAGGTTCGTTAAAATTTGTTTTCTGCTAAAATAATTTATTGGTTCGGGTGATATAAGAGTGTTGAATCGTTTCTGTTATGTTTGTGATGAAATAGAAACAGGAAATAATTCTTGAATTGGTCAAAGATGTTGGGAGATTTCATCATCAGATTCCTTGTGTATGTCCTACCATATCTTGTTCTATGTTATCCATTTGGTTCATTGTATTTTGTTGTTCTTGGATAGATTAATATATGATAATAAAATGGTGATAATGGCAGATTAATATTAGGGTACACATACCCAGCTTTTGAATGCTTTAAAACGGTGGAGAAGAACAAAGTTGATATCGAGGAACTCAGATTTTGGTGCCAATACTGGTATTTATAAATCACATCTTTTTAATTTATTTATCCTCATAATCATTTGTAGTTTGTACCTGTGTATAGATTTGTTGCAATGAGCAAATTGATTTTAGTTTGGTGAAAGTTAATTAGATTTGTTTTGATTTCTTCATTGTTTAATTTTAAAAAGCTAGAAGACAACAAGATTCAGTTAAGGTTGGTGTTGTCGGTTAGAAAATGTCTTCCATTAAATATATATATAATCTTCCATACAAGTCTTTGATCTCCTAAAAAAACTTAATAAAAAGAAATGTCTTTGGTTCCGAAATATGGGATGCACGTTTCATGCCTGATGTAAGAGTAAGACCAATATATACTGGAAAATATCATTTTAGCAAGCATTTTGTATTTGAATGATTAGGATACTGTTGGCGCTAATTTCATCGTTCGAGAGGGTTGGCGGTATATTTATCTCATGGTAAGAAACATCTTATTCATGACCAAATTCATCTGTTTTCTTTAAAATCTAAAATTCATTAAATTTGAGATATGCAATTATTATTCGCAGGTTACCATTGTACGGAGAAATGAAAGTGGTGTTCTTTGTATATCTTTGGTACCCTAAAACGAAGGTAATTAATACAGTTAAAATCACTAGATTGGATGATACTTAACTCACTAATAATAACTCGAAAAATGGATGAAGGGAACGAGACATGTATTGAGACGTTGTTGAAGCCATACATAGCTCAACATGAGACAGAGATTGATAGAAAGATTATGGAGTTGCGAGCTAGGGCTTGGGACTTTTTCATCTTCTACTTCCACAACTTTTCCAAGGCTGGTCAAGCCACCTTGATCCAGGCTTTTCAGAACGTACTCGCCCAATCAGTCCTTTTCTCGGCCGCAGCTAACCAGCCGCCGGTACTAACCTCATCGCTTTTGTCTCTGCCTATAACATATGTGTTTCTCAGTTCACATATGTTTGTACTAGTTAATAATCTTTGACCCTTTTGTGTGTAGCCGATGGAGACGAATGTAAACGTGAAAACGCGATCACCGGTGGAGACGGAGAGTGATCCGCACTCACCTCCCGCTCCAAGACCGTTGAACAAAACGCTATCTGCGTTGAGATCGCTAGAGAAGCAAACGAGCAGAGGGAGGAAGTGGCCACCACCAACACCAGGACGAGATTCAGCCAACGGAGATGAAGGAGTCAACATTCCTGATACACTTCCGGGTTCACCTATCATAGATGCTCGTGCTAAGCTTCGCCGTTCTAACTCTAGGTCTCAGGCCGCATCATAGTAACGTACATAATCGTGACCCGAGATAACATTTATACTTTGTTATAAAGATATATAGGAAAAGAAAAAAAAAAGCAGGTTTGATTTTTTACTTGTTTTTTTTTTTTTTTTGTAAATTGAATCAGAAGATTAAATCCAGCGAGAATATTTTTGTTCAATTTTAACTTACACTAGATTTTGACCCGCTCAACCGAGCGGGTGTTTAATTTCGTTTATAAATATGTATATATATATATTTATTTACATCATTATTGGTATATATTATTATTCATATGTTTAATGTTTATAAAAGATTCTAAAAGATTTTGTTAGAAATCTTTTTAAAATATTTATTTTATTTCAAATAGAAGAAAGATATCAAAAGATATTGTAACTAAGTCAAATAAAATGTTATTAAGATATATATGAAATATTACTTTCTAGGAATGGTCCATTTTTAAAAATATCACACATGAAGAGAAGTTGTGACTTCTCTTTTAATATAATAGATTAGTTCATCTGCATTGTCACTCGTTACACAACTCTCCAGCAATAAATGAATCATAATTTAAATGGTACATTGTATGGAACGCACCTGCCACTGGTACATTACACGTTCTCTGTATCAGCTCCTTCCATGGATTTGATCTGGACGCTAAGAGTGTTGTGAAGAAACATATCTGGTATGTTTGGTCTTCTTGCAATCATCTTGGTGTGGAGTCAATAGCTGCTGCGGCTATTTCTTCATCCATTACCGGTGGTGGACTACTCACGTCAGCTACTCCATAATCCCAATCTATACCAGCTTTTGCATGAGTTAAGGATCGTGTATTAGTATACAGATACATTATACTATATGATGTAAAATGTTTTTGATATATCAAAGGATACAGTCGGCGTTCCAAATGTCCGTCATGCTAATTTCAGCATTGGAGAGAAGCCAGTAGTCTGTATCATCATTCTGCAAAATACAAGACCAATTTGATAAGTACTTGGTAAGTTCATGTATGCATAACAGAAATATCTTCAAGATATTTGTTTGAAATTTGTCCATCATTGTATAGTTTGTGCGTGTTATCTTAAAATAACCAGGAGAAGGTCTTACTTCGATGTTAGAGGGGGTAATCTTAAGCATTCCTCCAACTTGCTCCTGCAAGGTATTAAGATCAGAGGTGTCGCCGGGTTGAGCATGTGCATGAACTTGAGACATCTGATGCTCAATGGTAGTTTCTGTGTTATAAACAGTTAAGGCTTCAATGTCATGGTTTTCTGTAGATCCTGAGCAAGAAGCAATAGGCGGCAAGCATGCTGGTGGTGCAACACTCCCATTCGTATCCTCAAATTCGCTGGACATGGAGTAAAAGTAAAAAGACACGTAAGTACCTCCATGAGAAGAGTACGACATTGTATGAAAAGATATGTCTAATACAGTTTATGTTGTTCATATTTAAAGCTTCTCTAGGCAGAATATTTGTATGAGTTGCTAACATGAAAAAAAACTTTCTATAAAAAAAGACCAAACTAAACCTTTTGTCTATCATTAAATTTATCTTTGAGTGACTACAATTCATGTTTATTTTAAGAAAAAGATGGAAGAAACTAGAAGGAATAGATACCTGACAAGGTAAACGTCAATAGGTCCCATTGTACTTCTAAGAATGATCCTGTATCTCCTCTGGGGGAGGTCACCCGCCTGTCATGTAGATCAGAAACATATTATCATATAGAAAAATTGCAGCGAATGATAAATAGCAGATGGCTATTAAAGTTGCTGAAAGAGACTAACTTCATCTGGATCAGGGACTTCCAAAGTTGTGCCATGAGGTGCTTTGACGGCTATCAGAGTTTGGTTCTGCAAGAGCAGCAACGTGAGAGCTGAGATATAAGTGAACAATGAAACTCCTAAGGGCTAAAAAGACAGACCTGGAAACCCGGTAAACTCTTGATGTCCTCTTCGGTTACAAACAGCCACCTGCATCATAAGAATAGGACCATCGCATTACCAAAAAATAAGAGAAAACTAGCCTACAAAACTATAGATAGACGGGGACTTTTACTTCTGGTTCTTTTCCTTTTCGCTAAGATCCCTTAGTCTTTCCTCCATTTCTCTGAAAATAAGATACTAAAAGTCAGCATTAGTTGAGTAGATGAATCACAAGAACCCATGAGCTACAACTCTCTAAATGAATTCTATCAAACCTGATTTGGTTATCTAGCGCTTGCTCCTCGAGGTTAAGGTTTTCAATTTCTGTCTGCAAGGAGAAAACAAAATCATCAATCCAGAATCTAAGTCGCATACTATTTGCACAATAACTTTATTAAATGCAAGCTGCTTCACCGCACCTGTAAGACAGATACATCAGCATCCATATCGCCAGGGCTCGAATCATCAACTCCCCTGGTCAAGTTTATTGACCCACAAGTGAGTTTAGATTTGTTTAAGTGATTCAAGGAGAATCCGAACAAAGGAGATTCGAAGTTCAAACAGCATAAGCATATTATTATCATAAGATCCTCACTTCCAAAGAATTCGGTTCTTGAAAGGCTTTTCAATGAGACCAATCCCCTCCAAAACGTTAGTAATATCGTATATACGTCGTTTCTGCACCCCCAATGTTTCTGCAGCTTGGTTTAGGTCCAGCGTTCCATCTTTAGATTGTTTAATTAGATTGACAAACTTTTTCGTAAGGAGACCTGAACATGCCACATGGTTTATGTCAGCATCTTCAAATCCACCACAACATGTATACATAAACAGTGGTTTAATTACCTAAAGAACTGTCATAACGGCAACTTCCAGAAGGAGTTAGTGTGACAGGAGAACCTACAACTTTATCAAGAAAATAATATCAGTTCTTTGACCATCTTGTTGCTCCAGGCATGAAAGACAAACCCAAATATCTTCTTTACCAGCATTTGAGATGGGTGTTTGAGGAAGTGACAGAGTCTCTTTAGCCTTTGACTTAGCGTTGACTCTGCCTCCTTTAGCTGAAACAGGAGTGTGACAGGAACTGTTGTATATGCTAGAGGAACCAGAGCTCGTGAATCCATTACTATAAGAAGTAGTAGTAACCACATCCATCATCGACTTTCTCTTCCGTGACTGCAGATATAATAATAATAATAATAATACTTGTTATTAACTTGAAATAAGTTGTTTTCAAGCATCCAAACACACACATGTCTCTATATATCATTAAGTTTCACAACAATGGCATCTACTTCAAAAAATCATATCCCATTACAATGGGCATATGTGAATAAACTATCATGGCCCCGGACATAGCCAACATTGGTCTATCTTTATACATAAAACCGAGCCAATGAACATATAAACCAGGCCAATTTCTAAACCGGTTTACGAAATTGAGCAACCTAAACCACACTAAACCGAGTCGAAGAACTCACAGGAGATCTTAAAACGAAGGCGTCCTCCTCCCGATCTACGCTTCCGCAGCTACTATCGCTGTTAGTGAATCGACGGTAATCGGAGTGGTGAAACGGCGGTTTCGTTGAGGCAAACGCCAAGTGTCGACGTATGGGTGGGACCACAGGGTTAGATGAAGATGGCGGCTGAGAAGAACGTACGCCGCCGGACATGGATGGTAGCGAAGCGGAGAAAAGAGACGGCGAAGGGAGGAGAGAGAGAGAGAGAAGGGAAAACACGAGGGTTTTAGTGAGAGAAAGAGAGCAGAAAACGAGGGAAGAAAGGACTTTTATGTTTGGGCATAGATGTGGAGGGAAGCCTACAGTGTCAATTAAAAAAAAAAACCTTTTTTTTTGTTTAGTTTCTATTTGTTGCCTAATCATTTTAAATTGTTCAGATTCGCCCCTACTTACTTCACTTTTTTAAAATTTGTTTCTTGAAATGAAGAAAATCTAGTTGACCATATGAAGGACTGAGAAATATTAGTTTGATCATAATTCCACTTATAGGGAAATGTTGGATTTCAATGCTACTTAAAGATTTGATAATAAATATTGGAGACTTGATTATATCCAAGAATTAACTTTTAATGAGATTTTTTTTCTTCTGATGTTAGAAAATAAAAAGTGAGATTTTTTTTCTTTATTGTAGAGATTCTTTAGATTAGGACTTTTCTCAAAAGACGAATACATACATGTGGTCTTTTCCGGAATATGGCGCATGTTATGTCAAAGTGGGATATATTAGATATTGGGATTTATCCCTCGTTTTATTCGTCACCTCTCTTTTTAGGGATCTAATGTTTCAGTTTTACACATATACGTACTTCGAAGTTTCTTGACAATCCAACAGATTGTTCGACATTCCAATAGAGAAGCAGATGTTTATTCTTCTTGTGTAAAACTGTTTTTTAGTTTTTGTAATTCTAAGTTTATGTGTGAACTGTTTACTAGTAAGTTAATGAACACGAGTTTTATCTTTCACCTTTGTAAGTTTTAGTGAGAGAAAGAGAGCAGAAAACGAGGGGCGTCTCTTCTCGCTTTCTATAATTAGAGCACCATTAACGCAGCAGCTTAGTGGGATGTTTAGTGATTTTCCGATTAAAAAAATGAAAATAAACAAAAGAAAGAAACATTGGTGCTTAATTAAGCTGTCCAAACATTGGTGCTAATTACTTTTACAACTTAAATTATTAAAAAAGAATAAACACCTCTAGTTAAGTATTTGAATTAATGGTACTCTAAAACGCCTTGCGAATTGTGATGACAACAAAAAAGGCTCGTGTTTCTTGTCACGAGCCTCCAATAAAATCTCATTTTAAGTAAAGAGAATATACAAGTCCATAGGACTGAACACCATTGCTGCTTACTCTGCTTTAACTCGTTACTTATCTCATATCCATTTAAAAAGTTAAGTACTTGATGTTGTCAACGTCAATAATAAATCGAAATTTTTTATTACTTGTAAAACCAAATCAGATATCAAATATTATAATATTTTTTTAATATTCACCTTGTTACTTACCTTATTACTTACTACTTGCTACATAATATATTAAGTACGTGTTACTTACTTCTTGCTACATAATATATTAAGTACGTGTTACTTACTAAAAATATTTGTTTTATTTTATTTTATTTGCATTTAGGTTGGAAATAAATACTCGTTTTCGTCTTATAATTGTTACTTGTTTTGTATTGTCTTGATTTTTCAAGTACTCCTCATCATCAAATCGAATATTAAAATAATGAGTTTTAGATACTTGTAAATAAGTCAAGCAACAAGTATTAAAACTTTCTAACTATATAGCTTACTGCTACCGTTAGTTTCTTAGAGAATACATTTTTGTTCTCGTGCGAAGTAATTCTCATGTTCTTTTTAATGAAATAAACAATACAATTTTTCATGTCCCTTTTCAATTTAGTATTATTTATATAGTATTATTTAATAAGTAGTTTTTAAATATTCTGGAATACTCGTAAATAATTCACAAAATATTTGCAAATAACAAGATATAAAGTAATGTAACTTACAAGTAGCTTATTTTTGATAAATACTCAAAATAGCTAGTACTCATTTTTAACAAGTCAAATAACAAGTCTAAATTTTATTACCCGTATAAGACAAATTAAGTATCAAGTACACAAAATAGCGAATACTCGTCTTATGCCCGGTATATTCAGATTATACCTCAAAAATATCATAACAGAAACTAAAAAGAGACTAGAGGTTCAATGACATCAAAAGTTCTATTTTACCAAGATCCAACCCAATTGTCGGATTAATTATTACATACTTAGCCCCCTACCTCCAATTGTAGATCCACATTCTCCGAAAAATCTCATCTCTAAAACTTGCACCTACTTGACTGACAAGTAGTCCAGAAATGGAAATCACATTTCATCTCATTCCGATGCATTAACAACAGTACCATCCACATTGCAAATGAACATTCTTTCTCCTACCAAGAACTATATCTCTCTATAACCCACAAATTACACATAGACGTGATGTTTCTTCCTTTTTGATTTATTATTACCAAAGAAGAGACTCGCACCACTTGGTGTCCATGTTTCAATGTCCTAAAAAAGCTCTACAAATCAAGAATCTTTATGTACAAATGAAAGTCGAGAGGTCTTGAACAGCGGAGAAGAATCACTACATAACTCCAACGCATCCCAAAACCCATCTTCCTTCATCTTCAAGACCACCGTCAACAGGAAACTCACCCTTTTCGCCACAAGAGTTGATAGGTGGAGTGGTCATGCAGTCGACGATGAGTATTACATAGGAGAGAAGGGTGGATCAAGTAGGAGTCAGGGTAAATGTGCTTCTCAAGGATGTGGGTTATAGGGATTTTGATGATGATTGAGAGGTGTTTGGTTTGAAGGAAAGTGCGGGAAAGCTGCGGAGGTGGAGGAAGATGACGATGGTGATGTTGAGAAGGGAAAGTGGAGGAGAGGAAAGAAAGAGACTGTGGTTGCATTGTTTAAGTGACATCACTCTCTACATGGGTTCTCTCTCTATGGGACGATATGATGAGACGATTAGACGGGGACAAGGGAAGATGTGGATTGTGGAGACAACGAGGGGATTTTATCATAACTGAATTGATGACTCTGTTTGATTTGAAACTTAGCCAGGTTTTTTCAGTTAAAACTAGACAACATGTGAAAGGTTTCTTTCTTCTTAGTTGGGCTCTCTACTAGGCCTAGGGGACCGTTTCTATTAGAACAAAATTGGAAAGTGGTCAAGAGATTTAGCAATATGGAAGGGTTATAGATCACTACTTCTTTTTAAAAAAATCTAAGACCATGTACAATGGAAGGTTGAATTAAAACATTATACTATAAACCTCTTACATTGGCAAATTGAATAAAATAAAGTATGAGTGGATTAAACTATGCCAAAAAGATTCAACGGTTGAATGGACAAAAAAAAGAAATTAACAAAGACATGTGTCAGATACTAATAAGCTCAAGTTTTATTTGTATGGTGTGGAGACATGTGTTGTGTTTTTATTAGTCATAGAGATTTTTGTTGTTTTTTTTTTTTTCACTCAAACTATTTTTGATCAATTATTTCATAGCAATTATAATTTTAATGAACTCTTTTTATACCAAAATTCATAATTTTAAAATATCTGTTAATAGAAACTTATTTTATTTAATTTGGACACTAAATTTTATATTTTATTAAATGAATTTTAATAATCTATACTATTAAAAAGAAACATTCTAAAATCTACAATAAAAAAGTTATTAGCCGATTTTTTGATAAATACCTTTTAAATTGTTGAAAAAAAATAATACAAAATAGGGAAATTGCTAAAACTAGCACTTTCATGATACCACATTTCACTTTTACATTAACCAACTTTACACTCAAAATTTTGATACCACAAAGACTATACTACCCTTCATTATTCAAACATAAACCTAAACCTATTCTTTCATCGCCGACGAGAGATTCAGATTTCGGGGAGATTCAAGGACTCTGGCGAGATTATCCGGCGAAATTATCCGGCGAGATTCCTCCGAGATTCAAAGTTTCCGGCGAGATTCAACGATTTCTGGGAGATTCAACGATTTCTGGGAGATTCAACGATTTCTGGGAGATTCAACGATTCAGACGAGATTCAACGATTCCGGCGATCCCCCTGTGTTATTCAACGACTCCGGCTAAATCGATACCTAGATTTACATCAATCGAAGATGAATAGCGTTGGGACGAATGATCTAGAAACGTCGGCAAAGGTACAACGTTTTTTTAGCTTGATTTCTTAATCTCGTCGAAGAGCATATGGATATCTGTGTGTTTTAGTGATGTTCTGGATCAGTTTTCTGGGAAGGAGATGAATATTATTTCATGAATTTTATAAATCTCTTATTTATAAGGCTTTATAAAATTATATTTAGATGAACACAACGTTTCTTTAGCTTGATTTCTTAACCTCATCGAAGAGCATGTGTATAACTTTTGTTTTTAGTGCTGTTATCGACCAGTTTCTGGAAAGGAGACGAATTAATTTTCATGAATTTTATAAATCTCTTATTTATAAGGCTTTATAAATATTGTATTTAGATGAACACAACGTTTCTTTAGCTTGATTTCTTAACCTCATCGAAGAGAATCTGTATAACTTTTGTTTTTAGTGCTGTTATCGACTAGTTTCTGGAAAGGAGACAAATTAATTTACATGAATTTTATAAATCTCTTATTTATAAGGCTTTATAAATATTGTATTAGACGAATTTTTTATGTTTTCAGGGTACTATGATTGAGATTTGTGCTGTTTGCGGGGAATGGAAACTCGTAAATGGAAATCACTGGGATTTCGGATCTTCCATTAGTATGATTCCTAAAGACATTAGGTTCAATGATTTAGTTGGTTATTTGCTAGAAGATTTTGAAATTGAGTCCAACAATGTGAAGCTTAGTTATGCATCTTGTTCAAAAGTTAATTTTGGAAGTAGAGATATTCCTCCAGTATTTATCAGGAACGATCGACATGTTTCGACGTACCTGAATAAATTACAACAAAATGGAGGTCTTCATCTTTGTTTAACTGTAAAGGCAAGTACACATATTTAGAAGGCTTTATAAAACTATTTTACAAGATTCATTTACTAACTTTTATGTTTTAATGTTTCAGAAAGAAACACGGAATGAA